CCTTTTTCAGCCAGCAACAACCAACCTTTTTCTAAAGACCGTCGCCGAAAGCCCAAGAATCGGATATGATCTGGTACATGAACAGCTCTCTCGAAGTGAATATAGTAGCAAAAATGATGAAGGGAATCTCCCACGGCGCTGGACTGTTCGCACTGACTAACCAGTCAGTGAGAGCCACCGGCGGCCATCACACTATGGTCAAACGCCAACGTTCCTTCACGCCGCATCATGTCCATCTCAGGCCATGCTAATGAGCAAAGCGTATCAAGTTATAACTCTAGACCATCCGTAAAACAGTTGAAGAACTGCTCCAACATCCTCTCAAACGTGCTAGTTAGTAAAGAAGCGAGTTCAGCAGTTGTTCATGTTCCAGTGACGCCAGCTTCGAGTTCGATTTCGTACTCTGCCTCAAACTCCAGTGCTTTGGCCTTCCCAAATGGTTTCTTCCATGGCTGCGCCGTTCCATATGTCAATATGTATGTTTTGCCTCAAAGTCATTATAATTCTGCTTGAATATTTGCAACGCTTGCTCTTTCTTTGTGTCACGATCGTGGTCACGCTCTGAAAAAAATTCTCTTTGACGTTGATATTGTCGATGAGAGTACAGACCACGCTAAACCACATTTCGATTTGTTTTTTACCACAATATCAGCGTCAAAGAAAATGTATTTTTCAGAGCGCGAGCTGAAAAAGGCATTGCGTGACACATGACGCGTGCAGCGTTGTCTGGACTCTTATCGACAACGGCAAATTAGCCAATCAGATTGCGAGATTAGTAGCAATTGTGGTAAAAACCACATTCGCCTAAGTTGCGAGCTGGCACTCTAAAGTGCAACAGCTTCGGCCGTTTCCTAAAACGCCTGTCCCCTGTACCGTATGCAGGAGCTGAATGACGCCTGCTTTAGAGCTATTCTAACCTGCAGCGTTAACGAAAGTGCGATGCACATCATAAGCCATGACATTCATCCATGTGAAAGAGGACAGAATAAAGAAATGAAGAAGAACTGCAACTACCAAGCAAGTGTCTGGGTCGTCATTTTTAACCGCTGAAAAGTAGACACTTTGGTACAGCAACAGGGAAATCGCCAAGTTGATTATGATCTTCCCAGGTAAGTTGCGGAGTTCAGCAAATAAAATATACGTAATCAGCAGGAGAATAAGAGAAATCATTGACAATATGCATCCGATTGATGTGAGAAGCTGGAGAGATCTAGATGCTCGCGTTTTGATTACTTTACGCCGCATACCGGGTCCTCTTTCTGTTGCAGTGAAGTTTCTTGAAAAATTGGCACACAGCAATAATCTTTTTCCACGTATCGTGAAAGTGTTGTTGCTGTATATCTTGTCATGTAGTTTCAAATACATGCTTCCATTAGATAGACGTTCGTAGTCTGACTCATTGAACGCTATTACAGTTGTACAGTTTGGATTCCATTGCTCGGTTTCGTTTCGTCCTCTTTGGTCAGGATCTGTTTGCGGTACAGTTGGAACTATCTTTGTGCATCTGCCAGTGTATGGATCGAACACCTCATCAAACGAGCAGGACCAAAGTTGTTCAATTTGTTGAACCGCGTATTTAACGCTGTCTCTTATCACAATACTGTACTTAGACGTTGAAGTAAAATCAAAAAAGATGGTGAGAGGAGGCAATATCCCGCTGACCCTTCCGCAAATGCTTTCCATAACACTCGTGTTAAACCCATTGCACAAGGCACACTGTGGGTTTCTAAATCGTAGCATTTCTGGACCCCTGACACAGACTGGGAACGCGTACCTCAAGCACTCGGCTTGGCAATAACTGTCGTTGTTATCTTGGCTTATTTTATGGCAGTCCTTAAACCGTGGAATGCATCGATTCAAATAGCTAAGCTGGTTATTTTTCGGCCTTTTATCAATTGAACATCTCCGCTGTAAAAGGCCCAGATCACTGGTAAAATTAAAAGTTGTAACATTAAACCATTCCTCACAATCAAATATAATCTTCCAGTATGTCGTATTTAGTGCAGCATTGCACCTCGCACAGAATATATTTTTGTAAGTCACGTGACTATCTTCGTCAAAAACTGGTAAATTCCTTAAAAGATCACTTTCATCTTCATCCTGGCATTTCTGCAGCACGCTTCTTTCTTTCCAGTTTTTTGGGCAGGTATTCCAAATTACGTAACCATGGTACGCTGAAACTTCATCATGTTTTACACCAAAGCATATTTCACTCGTAGAACGGTTGCTGCTCTGAGGACTAAGATTTTTTCGACATCTGCAAATACAATGAGATCCGCACATTGAAGTTTTGATACGTACTTTTTTGGATATAGTTATTGATTTTTAGAGTGTCTTAAAGGAGGGAAATCGAGGTGCGGGCGTTCCTTGCTTCTCAATTCTTCCGTGATTTCCGCACACTCCAGCGACAATTCCTCATCACTCCTTAATAGGGACATAAACTTCCAGTTGAGCAATTTCATATTTAAGATCATTACATTCTCTTGGGGAGCTAGGAAAAGCTTGAGCAAGAAACCGCCTGACGTTCTGACCAAACCAGCCCACTTCACGTGAAATACAATACTCCCTGAAAGAAAATAGTGCCAGTATGCGAACACGATTGAAAAGGTTTGGAGATTTTGCATAAACTTTGAAATTCTTCCAAACTTTAACTCGTGTTTGCATAAAGAAATGCGAACACGCATTTAATGAGCTATTACTCAAAATATGTACAAGTTATAATTAACGCACGCAGGGAATAGGGTTTCAATCCAGGGATGACCCCATTGTGTTTAATCGCTGGTAACTAACCGCAAATACTCTGAAAGTATCAAGAATTACCGGCTATATTTTAAAATTTAAACACTTACAATTTATCGAAGTCAAAGCAACAGTCACCAAAGTCATCGCAAAGCTCGTCACAATAACATAAAGGTATAAAAACTGCACCATCCGACAGTGATGCATTTCTTTGGTCCAGTCCACACCGAGCGCTACAGCTGTAGCGCGAGTCAGCTGCCATAAAACTGCGTTGAAGAAAAAGGCGCATTTGATCTTCCCACTGTGATCCTGGGAAGTTTGAAAAAACAGAACAAAGAAAAATCTAAGGTATATAAAGATACGGACCGATGCAATATAATAGTCATGAATTGAAGTCAAATATGGTAAAGATTGCTAGCTCAAGATCAGAAACGCTATTTTGGTTTCAGAAAAACATGCTTGTTAACTTATCTTAAACCTGTTTGAATTATTAAATTGCGTATTACTGGTAGAAGGTTAATCATAAAAGGAACTCTGATTAAAAAAAATAAATTGGCGGGTTTTTTTGGGTTTTTTTTTTTTGGTACGGCGTGTAGAGGTTAGAATTCTTGTTTCGGAATCGCTTAGCGCGGTATTTGGACTCTTGACAGATCCGCAAACTATAGTGACTCGGAAATAGAATCTCTCGTAAGTAGACATTCTTTGACCCAAAGGAAAATATGTCCGAGTGTTTTGTATGTAGCTGTGACCATTTCGGAGTGTCCGCTCACAAAAATGTGGGGGAAAATGTGGGAAGAAGCAAGGCTTGCATTATCACACTTCACTATCTTTTAGTCCAGCCTAAATTTTTGAAATTGAAATACATCAACTACATACCCGTGACTTGGGCCATATCTAGGCTACAGTTCCGGAGCAGAGAACGAAGGAAGAAAGAATCAGGAGTAGGTCCGATAGGAGAAGAAACTGTAGTGAAATCTATTGAACTCGCCTGGCTTACGTTGGCTGCTCCATCTGAAAGCAACGGGTTGATTAGGTTATGGGTTGATTAAAAAAACAAATATGCCCTTGCTAAAAATGCTCGAACTTGCATGGCAAGTACATGGACTCTTGTCAGCTTACTTCATTGTTGACGAAATTAATCTAGATGATTCTCTTCAGCTGGTGGAAGTACTTTTGAAAGCGCAATGAACAGTGAACAAGTTTAAAGGGGAGATATACTTGTACTCAGCCATGGCAATGCTGACTGTTAACTAGTATCAAGAGCATTCATGTATAAGCGTTCTAAAACATGTAAAATGAATTACCTCTAATCTGGCCGGCGATGTTTTTCCAAAGGCCTGCGTAAAGCACCAAAACAAATGATATCACTGTGATATGGCGAGGAAAAAACAGCATTTTACGCATTCACCTGAAAATTGTCACAAACAGAGAATGGCTTTGTGAAATATAGTCTCCAAAGTAACAACCAAGTAACACAGAGTTCTTATTATTACGCTCTACGATAAAACTAAATTAGGAAACAGGTGATGCTGGCGAAAAGGAGCGACAAACACTAACTGACTTTGCTTATGAAGTTAAAACATTATTCATGAAACAAATGTCAACCCCCAGGTCACGTATCTGACAAGGCTAATATGTGGCATCAGCTTTTTTGTCAGCTTGAAATTGGCTGATACATAAAGATGAGAAAACTGCGGCGCCTTAACTCAATAGATTAGCGGCATTTGATAGCACGGCAAAAAACCCACTTTTTTGAGTGAAATTGAAACGTGACTTTCAGAAGACTGCATATATATGTTTTAAAGAACTCTCTCTCGGGATAACATTCAGGTTTATAGGAGCCTACATAAACATTTTACGAATAAGCCAAGAAACTGGTTGAAATTTGGATAAAAACTTGTTATTTTCTGCAAAGGGCACATAGGTATACATTACAGTTATCAAGACAACCAATCTTGGTTCAGTCACACCTCGGAATCAACACTGTCTTTATCCGACTTTTGTGGGTTTACATCAAAAAGTTTAGACAGCTCAATGTTTACGCTACGCACATCACGACAGTGACGCCAAGAACAACGTTAAATGTGAAACCAATTCATATTTTACTAAAGAATTCCAGTTAACTCTAGATCCATTCGATGTGCCTATCGATGTTGAAACTATTTTCACTGCATAATTAATCAGCTCATTGCAAAACATGCTCTTATTCCATCACATTCCCCCGTTTTCGCCCGTGCTGGTAGCGTCGGTAATGCTTTG